GGGACAATATGCTGACTCTGTAAACTGATTAGAGAGAGCTGTAAAGCATTATGAAGCAGTGCAGAAGTCTAAATAGCGGTTTACAGAGTCAGCCTCTCGCCCCCAACAATCAAGGTCCTCATTTTACCCACCTGGGAAGGATGGAAGGCTGAGTCAACCTTGAGCCTGGTGGGATTTGATCTGCCAAATTGCAGTGGGAGTAGCTTGCAGTACTGCACTCCAACTACTGCGCCACCGAGGCTCCCATAAATAAATAACAAATAAATAGCATAAATAAATGCTATTGCTATTGCAGGCTAACTCTGTCCACTACCAGGAGTTTGATTGTGACTGGCTCAAGATTGACTCAGCCTTCCATCCTTTGTGTCAGCCTCGGAAGACATGTTTGTCTCTGAGTTTATTGGTTTAGAGTTGGTTAGTTGGAACGCTGACATTTTGAAGATTGGTCAAATGAAGACCTAGATTGTTGGGGGAAATAAGCTGATTTTTTTTTTTAACTTCCTCAGAGAGGGCTGTAAAGCAGAAGTCCCCAATCTTCCAGGTTTTGTGGACCAGCAGTGGGGGAGGGGATGGTTTCAGGCCACACAACTGGCAGGCATAGGCGCTCGCAGCTTCATTTGTGTGAGCGGGGGACGCTTGCATTTACACGTGCAGCTCCATTTGCACCCCTGCCACTCACACAGCTGCATGGATGAGCACACTCGCCCTCCACTTGCACTGCCCGGTTCCAAATAGGGGGCAGCCCAATACCAGGTTACAGTAAAGCGCTGTGGAGCGGGTATATAAGTGCTATTGCTATCGTTGAAAGCTGGTTGAGAAGATTACATGACCCCAGGATGTTGCAACCATCATAAATACATGCTTGTCTTTGCCAAGTGCTGGATTTTGATCATATGACCATGGGGATGTTGCAATAGTCATAAGTGCAAGGATCAGTTGTAAATCACTTTTTTCCAGTGCTGTCAGAACTTCGAACAGCAGCTAAAAGGATGATTGTAAGTCAAGGACTACCTGTGGGACCTGATAGCGTCCTGTGTGATGACCCGGGGAATGGCACAAAGGCAACACAGTCAAATAAGCAACAAGAGTCTCTTTATTATCTCCCAACTTTGCCCCCAATGTGCAGGTTACCTTTGGCTGGAGAAAAACTCTCCCTGGAACAGCCTTTGGCTGTAGAAAATTCAGTCCAAAACAAGGTACACACAAACTGTAACTTAAAATCCAAACAAACCAAACTGAAGTAATTAGCTTGACAGGGCAGGAGAAGGAATTTCAGACTTCAAAGCACGGCAAAACTCACACAGTTGGGAAGATGACAGGGACCCAAATAAGCCACAACAATACAAGATAAATTCACGTTTGCTCCCAACAGCTTGCTACACACAGCTGACCTTTTTTTATACATCGTGTTCCCAGCTACAGCTAATGAAGGGAATCAGGGCCCTTTCCTCCCCTCTAAGCCATGCAACCCATGTTGCTCTCTTCTCTGTTCCTCCCTGCGTGCCCTCGGATGAAGAGTGGGTGGGCCTGGGTCTTCCTCTGAAGTCCCTCTCCCTTGTTCTACCTCTCCCCTGCTCTGCCCAGCTGGATTTTGCCCTTCCCCAGTTTCTTCCACAGCCAACGGAGTCACACTCCTACTCCCTGTCAGCTGTTCAGCTTCCTCCTCCGAGTCAGATACGGACAGGAGCATGACACCCTGAGGCAATCAGCAGCAGTAGAAGCTCATATAATTTGGGCTTGTGCTACAAGTGGATTCTGAATTTGAAAAACAACAACAACTGGGATTGCAGGATTTGGAAGGGGAGACAAACAGATCAGGTAGGCCGATTGGATTGAGAAGATCTCTGGAAAATCCTGAAAGAGCCGCTTAATATTACTAGTCCTGGGTGGGGATCCAGTTTGAAGGAGAAAAGTCAATCTGGAGCATGTATGGACATGCATATCCAGCCCGTTGGCTTTCCACGCATCTTAAACACGTTTTCCTTCAGGAGCTCGCAAACAGCTGAGCTTCGATAACAGCAGATGTTCCACGGACACCCACTAACACTGAATCACCTTTGAATCTGGATCTCAGCACAGAGCTACAAAAGGTTGCATTGACTTCATCAGACGTGAGGTGAGGGTGACAGATCATTGTCAAGAAACAAAACCAAAACTTGTGAGCCCTCCATTTGACAAATCAGAGACCTCAACCCCATTAGCTTTTTCCAGAAAGCCTTGAAAACTTGGCTCCTTTTTTTCTGGCACAAGGGCAGAATCTCATCTGTATGGTTTGATGGAATTCTGGTTTCCAGACCCCCTCAGCTTTGTTGTACAGGCAGATTTCAGCTTGTATAACCATTTAGGACAGCATTCTGCTTATGGCAGAATTACTTGCACCAGCTTTACAAAGGGAGACTCGAGAGATCCTGCTAGAAATTGACGAGGCCTATAGAGTTCAAATGAGCTACGCTCGAGGTAACAGGTTACCCAGGGAAGTCCACAAGCGATTTGCCAGGAAACAAGTACGTGACATAATATACAAGATAACACGGGTCTATAAAGGTAAAGAAGTGTAAACTCTGAAGCAGGTTCCCAAGAAGATCTGCGAAAAGACTATAAGTTTTTAGCAACACAACTCATCCAGAAGAACATAATGTTTCGATGGTTAATTCCAAAAGGTTTGTTGGTAACATGGCAGGAAAAGAGGATCAGGATAGATAACTTAGACAAGGCGCAAGATTTCTATGAGCAGATTGGAGGAACAGAAGAAGAAAGCTGTGGTAGAGAGGAGCTAGAGACAGAAAGCCAAGAAGAACAACAGCAAGATACAGGAGGCCTAGAACAAGAAGGAGAGAACAAGGAGGAGACTGAAGGAAGAAGATTAAGAACATGCCTGCAAAGAGAGACTAGAATTAACAGAAGACAAGATAATATCCCACAAGTAGAAAGACGGAAACAGAAATGAAGCTATTATCATTAAACATAAATGGTCTAAACTCACCCATTAAAAGGAAACAGATACTATCTAGATTAACCAAACAGAAATTAGAAATAGTATGCCTGCAAGAAGTCCATATTAAAAAACAATTCTGGAAATGTTTAGAATATCCTAAATTAGGAAGGTTATTTGTAGCTCTGGCAGATCAAAAACAAAAAAAGGGGGGGATAGCAGTATATGTTAAAAAAAGGAAAGAATTAAAAATGTGATTTATGATCAGTCCTCCCACTAACAATCATGGGAAAGTTCCTGTGGGTCACACCATCAAAATTAGAGCACTTGGCAACCACAGGTATTTATGATAGTTATACTGTTCTGGGGATCACTTGATCACCAGGTGATCTTCTCAGCTGGCTTCTGACAAGCAAAGTGAATGGGGAAGTTGGGTTTGCTTAATGACCATGCCAGTCGTTTAACAATGGTGGTTCAAAAAAAGGTCATAAAACCGAGTGGAACTCACTTAACAGCCACCACACTTAGTAACAGAAGTTCTGATCCCACTTGTTGTAAGTTGAAGACTACCTGTAATGTTCTATTACACAGGTCTCCAAAGTTGGCAATTTTAAGACTTGTGGCCTTCCAGCTCCCGGAAGTCCACAAGTCTTAAAGTTGCCAAGTTTGGGGACCCCCGTTCTATTATATCACGTTTAAGTTTTGTCCTGTGAAATCACAAGATCAGAATGGGCAGCTATTCTATAAATAAAAACAAGCAAATATTGCCACCTGATTAACAAGAACTTGAACTGTTATTTACTGCCCTCAACTGAGCCTTCAGACATCTAGGAACAATCCCACAGGCCTACTTTGCAGGGGTGTCGTATGGATTAGGTAACATTCAGCTGTTGAAAAGGATGATGGTGATGTGGGACGGAGCAAGAGAAAGGTATAGTGGTTGCTGGATTTCTTCCACATCCTGCTGAACTCTACAGGGAGTCCCCAATTTACAACAGTTCATTTAGTGACCATTCGAAGTTAACAACGACACTGAAAAAAGGGACTTATGACCGTTTTTCACACTTAAGACCATTGCCGCATCCCCAATGGTCACCTGATCAAAATTCATACAGGTGGCAACTGACCCATTTTGCAGTGTCCCGGAGTCATGTGATCTGCTTTTGCGACCTTCTGACCAGCCAAAGCCAAAACCCTGCCAGTAACTTGACCGCTAAAGTGATAGGTCGCAAAGGAGGGCGAAATTCACTTAACAACTGTCTCGCTTAGCAACAGAAATCTTCGGGCCTGAACCGTGGTCGCAAGTCAAGGACTACCTGTAACGAGGGGAAGCCCTGTCCCCTTCCCACGGACGCTTTCCGAGCCAGATGCCGACGAAGCCACCGACGGGGACTCCAGCCCATCTCCCGGTTCCCCGCTCGCAGCTTCCACCCACCCACCCGCTCGGCCGCGCCACGCCACGCTTGCCGGCCTCGCTTCCTTTCCCCACTCTGCTCGAGCAGGGGGTTGGACTAGAAGATCTCCAAGGTCCCTCTCCAGTTCGGTTCTTCTGTCCTCGTCCAGCAAAGCCCCCCGGCGGCGCGCCAGGTGCGCTCGCCCACCCGGGTTTCCTCCCTTAAGCTTATAAGGCGCAGGAGCCAGCCGGGCGCCTTCCAGCGGATGCCGCTGCTGGCGCTCCCTCTGGTCCGGGGGAAGCGGCCCCAACCCCCGCGCCCCCCGGCCCTTCCAAACCGCGGGGACCCGAATGGCCAGCGGTTGCTCCGGCCGAGCCCGGCTATAAGGGGTTCTCTGGCTCCGAAAGGCCCGCTCCGGAGCCTCCGCGTGGGCTCGGCGGTGCGCAGCAGGCGAACGAAGGGGCGGGCGGGCGCGGCGCGATCGGCGGAGCCGGGAGCGCACAAAGCCGGGCGGCCGGGGGCTTCAGCCCGGTCCAGGGGAGGGCCCCGCTCGGCCAGGCGGCCGGCCGGAAGGAACAGCAGGCAGCGGGGATGGGACGGGCGATCTCGGAGCTGCCAGGCTGGAGGAATCCTCTGTCCGCCCTCCACCCCCCAGCCCTGTTAGTTTAACCTACGTTAGTTTCCTCAAGTTGGGCCCCTTCCTCCTGCTCCGTCCTCCGTCTGAAAGGCTCCCCGCCAGTGCCGGAGCCGATCCGTCCCTTCAAGCCGGGTTTAAGGCGAAGGAGGAGGCGGAGGTAGCTGCGCGCTTGGAGCCCCGTTGCAGCCACACCGGAGCGGAACGTATAAGGCCGGGCTGGCTGGGTCTCCCCTTGCCTTTCCCCTCCCTTCTCCCCACCCCACCCCCCTTTTCCCAGCCTAGCGGCCGAGGGTTTGAAATGCAGCTCGAGCACATACAAACATACAACACACCCCGTGGGAAGAAGGCTGGCCCGGCTTCGAGTGACACGGATTTAGGAGGAAGGGACGAGGGTGGGTGGGTTAGAGGCTGCCCAGGCGATCGGGAGAGGAAGGGGCGTGAGGGGGTGGGAGCTGAGGGAGAGGCCACGGCTCTTGGGCTGGACTCGGTCAGCTCATCCTGGTGGTGGTGGGTGTTGGGAGGGGCCGTAGAGGTCACCTAGTCCCACCCCTTTCCCAGTGCAAGATCCATGATCAGAGTAGGTTTGGATTTGTGGGCTTCAATTCCCAGCAGGGAATTCTGGAAGCTGAAGTCCGCAAGCCTTTGAAGAGATTATTTGGCCCGCTGAGAGCTAGGTAGGCAGCATCTACATTTCATAAATGAAAATCTGAGGAAATATAATGACGCTATAGTATGAATATTTTCTCTTCCGGATCACAAAATGGTAGTGGAATAAACGGGTATATCCCTCAGATTTCTTTCAGGTAAATTGGGAGGTGTGATTGGGTTTGTTTGATTTTTAACCCACCTTTATTACTTTTATAAGTAACCCACAGTGGCAAATATACCTAATTCTCTTTCCTCGTTTCCCCACAACCACCCTGTGAGGTACATTGGGCTGAGAGTGACTGGCCCAAGATCACTCGGCCATTTTTCACGCCTAAAGTGAGATTGGGACTCACCGACTCCTGGTGATTGGCCCAAAGTCACCTAGCTGGCTTTCATGGCTAAAATGGGGGTAAACACATAGTATCCTTGTTTCTAAGCCAGTATTTTAACCATCAAATCCCCCTTTTAATAACTTTTCAAGGTTTTTCTTTTCCTTTTATAAGGATGACTGGGAAGGGGTGTCACTTTTTGAGGGTGTGGAATTTTTTGGAGATACAGCCCATATTATGGTGCTTCGAGTCTGTTTCTTTACCCCACTCCACCCCTCTTCTCTTCCCCACCCGCAGAATTGGCTGGGAATTACTGTGAAGTATTCATTTCTTACTCCAGTGTCTAAACTGTACTTCTGGGCAGTTCATAGATTAAAATTATTAACAAAAAAAACCCACCACCACAATAAAAGCAGCTGCACCGAGACAAGATAAACTGTAAAATGCACATGTAATGAGTCTTTGCAGCACCCTGGCCCATACTTGTAAACAGAGCCAGATCTTTCTAGCCCTATCTTAAATATAAGGAGGGTGGGGCCATATGTATATAAAGGAGGCAGCCTCTTCATAGGGAAGGCACTGCAACAGCCCAAGGCATCTTTTCTGAATCCTATGGTATGCTATTGTTTTATTCTTGAGGCCAGAATGACACCAAATTTGGTAGCGGGTGCATTACCACCTTCAAGGCAGGAGGCATCACCTGCTCCCTTTCATATCACCTGAATCCAACCATACAGCCCTATTTGCCCTCCTCCCAAATAGCCAGCTATGATATGGATCTAGCCCACAAGTGGTAGGTTTCATATTGCCCAAAACATGATCCAGTTCCATGAGTTCCACCAACTCAAAAGAATCCCCAAATAAAATGCAAGGTCACCTGTGTTGGTTCTGCTCAAGTAGTATCTAAACCAGAGCAGACACTAACAACCCTTTGCAAAGAAACCCACAAATTTGTCCAGTTGGTCTACAAGTGTCTTGCCCCTAACAAATGTTATCTCTCTCTCTCTCACACACACACACATACACACATACAGAGAGAGAGAGAGAGAGGAGGGAGGGAGAGAATTTCTCTAGTGTTATCGGGAAGACAATACGTCTTGCATGTCTGTTCTGAAGCAAATCCTAGGCGGGTTAGAAAACCTTGCTACAGATCTGTCTGTGGAGATTCTCAGTCATCCAGGTCAGAGCTGAAGAAGCTTCCTGGATGAGAAGCGAAACGTCTTCAAAAACAAAGCAAACCAAAAGTCCAGTTGCTTCTTGAAAAAAGCACCTTTGGGACATCTACAGATCGTCCCTGACTTAAAACCATTCACTTAGCGACCATTCAAAATTACAACAACACTGAAAAAACTGTCCTCTCACAACCATCACAGCATCCCACAATTTGGGTGCTTGTCAAACGGCATGTAATTATGTCTTGTTGTATTTATTTGTATCCCTCCTTTATTATTGTTTACAAATCACTCAAGGCACAAACATGTCTAGCACTTTCCTCCTCCTACTTTCCCAACAACAACTCTGTGAGGTGGGTTGGGCTGAGTGTGACTGGACCAAAGTCACACTCACTGGCTGTTGGAGTATTCCAGAGCCACCTGACCACCCTTTGCAACCTTCCCAGCTGACTTAATGACAAGCAAACTTGGGAAATCAAATTCATTTAACAACTACATGGTTCGCCTAACTGCAATAATTCACTTAACAACCATAGTCATAAGGTCGTAAAATGGGACATGACTCGTTTAATAACCATCTCACTTAGCAATGGAAATTCTGGTCCCACTCGTCATGAGGACTACCTGTATTTCTCAATGAAAGCTACCCTGAGTCTTGGCCACAAGCTAGAGACACTTTTTTGCCCTCAGTATCGTTGTAAAATCTATATCCACCATCTCCTCAAAATAGCTTACAGAAACTAACAATACAAATGGAAGATCATTAGGATTAAAATGAAGGGCAATCTCAAGACTGAGGCAATTCAAAAATCAGTTCCAACTAAAGATGACAGAGGTGGGGTTTGCCATTTTCTGACAAACCGAAGAAAAAAAGTCAAATATTACTTTTAGGATAGGTTTTTTACTGCCTGGAAACTGTACTAGGTTTGCTTCCATGTCAGATAGGAAGAGAATCTGGTAGTACAATCATCAAAAGGCCTTGTTGATCTATATAACTTGCATTTTTTGAGTGGGAAGAGACCATTTCACAAACTGTTTTTTTAAAAATTATTAAATATACATGCAGTCTGTCTTACTATCTAGTAATTGCTATAGTGTATTTGCATACCAAACCATAAATGTTTTTTTTTTAAATGATCATTGTTGAACTTGGAAAAATTTTAAGTGTTCCTTGATTTGGAAATAAATTTATACTTGCTGATATTTCTGCTATCAGGAAGATCAAAAACTTTGGGGAAGGTCTGCAGCCAAAGGATCCACATCCCACTTTTTCTTCTCGTGGGTAAGCAAGTGTGGCTTCACAACTACTGAGGAAGACTTGTTGGGTGGGGGTGTGGATTCCTTGAGTAATATTGATAGCAAAGCTCAAAAGACACCCAAGTTTTTTAACCACACAATGGCTTGTATAAAACACCAAGCCATAATTGCTTTACAAATTAGCTATTACACAATAGGTCAGTCCATAACAGGTTGTGCAAACACATCCTACAAGCATTAAATAGCCACTCAGGGCAAGAATGTTTTCATCATATGCTTCATTAATAGTGCCTAGCTGTGTTCATACACAGACCGCAAATCAGCCACCCATTGCAGCATAGCATAGCCTGTTTTATTTGGTTTTTATTTGTTGCCTTACAGGCCAAGGCCAAAGCAGTAGTGTAGCTTTCCGTGTGAACTCGGTTTGTGAGGTTAATTTGTTTCATTGTGTTGCAAGAATCCAGGAAATTAGGTTGGGATTTGCATCTGCAGGAATCTAAGGAAATCAGGATATAAATATGTTATTACGTTGTACCAAAAATTCATTTATCCCAATATTCTTAGGCCAGCTCTGCATTGGTTTACCACCTGCTCAATGAAAAATAATAGAGTTAAGGGAAAAAAAGACTGGATTCATTTTGCATTTTGTAAACATACAAGTAGCCTTGCTTAGTAACCATTGAAAGTTATGACAGACCTCAACAGAGCTACTTACGACCCAATTCCAGGGTCTCAATGGTGGCCCCTCCCTTGCAGTCAGTCACTTGACTGCATCTGAGTATTTGGCAACAAGTTCGCATTTACTACCCTTTGCAGTGTCTTGGGGTCATGTGCCCACAATTTTTGCCGGTTTTTTTTGCCAGTTTTTGTTTCTAGTTTCCAGCAAAAAACCTCCCAGAGTAAAAAAGATGTTTTATAACCAATAATGCAAAACGGTCATAAAATCCAGCAGTCACAGTGACCCACTTAATGGTGATTGATGACTGTAATTCTCAGCCAAATACCAGCCATTAAGTCGAGAACCACAGGTACCTGTACTGATAATTCTCCCAATGGACAAGCCACTCTTAGCATGCAGAAAGTTCAGGATTCTAATCCTGAAATTAGGGTCTGACACTCATGATTGATCTGCTCATCTTTATCAAGCAAATTCACTCCATTTGGCATCTCAGATCTGCCATTTGATTCCTCAAGACCACTGTTGACAGGAAAGCAAGATTCCCATTTTGGAGTCTCTGCAGCATCCTTAGTTAACTGGAAAAGCAACAACTATGGAGAAACGCTCTTCTCAATGACACACTGTCATTGTTTGAGCCAGTCTGAAAAAGTATTTAGTTCCCTCTAGTTTCTTAACATGCATACCACATTATAAAGTCTGTTGTATAGATGCCTGACTTAATACGATTTACTCCCAAGTGTAACTGGAAGTTGTATAGCTTGCTTAACCAGGGCAGTGGATGCCATTCAGTGAACATCTAAACGTGACCAGTGTCAAACCGGTCTATGAGGAAGGGGGCTACTTAGCTTATTTAAGTACAACCCTTCGTAGGTGTGAGCCTCCAAAATCGATTAATTCAGTAACTATGTTTTTCACTTTGGACAGATGACAGAATAACAGAGTTGGAAGGGACTTTGGAGGTCTTCTAGTCCAGAGGTCTCCAACCTTGGCAACTTTAAGACTTGTGGACTTCAACTCCCAGAATTCCTGAGCTAACATGACTAGAGGAAGAATTCTGGGAGTTGAAGTCCACAAGTCTTAAAGTTGTCAAGGTTGGAGACTCCTGTTCTAGTCCAACCCGTAGCTCAAGCAGAGATTCTACTATTTCAGACAAATGGTG